GAACTACTGTGGGGCCTATGGGTAGCTTGTGGGAGTTTCCGAAAATAAAGGGTGCCTTATTTTGGAGGTCCTGATCATAAGGGACCTGCTATTTAGGGTACTATATTAGGGTCCCCTATTTTCCGAAACTCCTACATGCTACCCATAGGCCCCACAGTAGTTCCCTTTTTGTGGCTTATATTTAGGATCCCAGTAGGGAATCCCAAAAAGGAACTACTATGGGGCATATGGGATAGGGAACAATTAGAATGGGGTTTGGGCCCCAAGGAGCCCCTTAAATAGTACAGGAAATTATCAAGGCCTCCCTACATTAGGGTTTAGGGTTTAGGGTTTAGGGTTTAGGGTTTAGGGTTATGATAAGCTAGAGTTAAAGGCTTTACAGGACTCAGGGCTTGCAGCTTGTCGGCCACAGAGTTTTCGGTTTAGGGTTTAGGGTTTGCCCTGCTGTTGAGGTGTGTTCTCTGGCACACAATCCAAGCCCATGCTGAAAGGGTTTAGGGTTTAGGTTGAGAGTGTTCGGGGGTGTTTAGATCTTGGGCTTCGGACTTAAGATCGGGGATGACAGCGGGGGTCCGAAAGTTAGGTTGGTCGTGAGCTCTAGCAGTCTTCGGGACGGCTGCACTTGCTGCTGTTGTTGTGGGTTTTGTATTTTTTGAACTGTGTTCGACTCGAGGGATCAAGCGGCTTGGTAAATCGGTTATGTGAGTTATGTGTACATAGCAGCATAATCCTGTGGCCATCTCTCATGGTCCACTTACCCAGCTCCTCGAGTCATCAAGTACGGCGTGAAGATTTAAACAAGCTGAGCTGGGGGTAACCTGCCCAAAGTGAAGAGCAACTCTGTAGAACCACATACAGAGAAAGATTCAATTCAGGTAGGCCTTGATATTCCGGTACTGCTTGGATTCCCCCGCGGTGACCTGTTTATTGGACCCCCGTCCCCACTCGATTTCATTTTTTGCACAGGCCCTCAACACGGCATTGGGCCCGAAGCTGTAAACGATAAGTCGAAATCCAGGCAGCTGCGGGTCAGAAGTTTCTCTCACAGAGCAGGCGGAATTCTAGGCGTGGTCTAGGCTAGGATTTGCGATATGGCGATATATGGGACTTATATAGGGCTTAAGCTTGTTCGGCTTCTGGACTTTGTATTGTAAAGTTTTCGCCAGGCCAGCCGATCGCTGACACGGCGGCACACGAGGTGCATGCCGATGTGTTTCTGCACCGGTAACCCTGAGCCAAGACCTTAGTTGTAGCACCACCGCCGCAAACCGTACAGAGTATTAGGTTATGACCTTCTGGTCTGGGCATGCCCAAGAGAGCAGTAGATGGTTGAACCCACATACAAGCCGGAAGCAGGGGTAGAAAGTCCCAAAGTCCCCCTGCTGCAACACTCAAGTCGAAGCCTAAGACGCGGTCATCTCCGGACCCTGGACCAGCTTGGTGCAGAGCCTGGGTACTTGCAATATTCGTCGTGAAGGTTCCCGAACACATTGTTAGCTCATATGGCATAATATAACAATCCATACGACGCCATTACTACTTCAATCCAACACCGCAAGCCGTGACCTTGAGCGCTGGAGATCCGAGCCTCCCCAACTAACCTTAGGGTTTAGGGTTTAGGGTTTAGGGTTTAGGGTTTAGGGGTTTAGGGTTTAGGGTTTAGGGGTGACAAGCTCTTTGTTTTTGTTAAAATCTCCAGCATTAAGCGTCCAGAGTTTTGAAGTACATTCGGGGACCCCCAAAAGGAGCACTTTATGGGGATATCCCTATCCTAATTTTTGCTGACGTGGTTTTTTGGTGGCCCTATACATGGGGCCTGGTGGCTTCAAGGGCCCAGGACTTGGGAAGTCGGGCTATGAAGGGTTAGAGGCTCAGGGCAACAGAGCTCCAGCTCTTTGAGGACCGTAAGTTGCCTTTGAGGCGTGATGGGTTGTGGGGTAAGTGTGGGCCTTGCCGTGGGCCTTCCCCAACATCCGGGTGTGAATAATGAGGCCAGGATTAAGGATACAATGCAAAAACCGGCCGTAGTCTGATCAGCCAGGCCTCTACCGTACTACAGTCACTCTTCTTAGAATTATTTGCTTGTCCGGAGGTCTCAGAATAAGGCCCAATATTCGAGCCTGACAGCTTCGACGAGTCTTCCGTATACTTCCTGATTATCACTTACTACATCCCAAACCCCAAATTGCCCCATTCGCTTCCGACCCTTCCGCTTCCGGAGCTGGCAGATAACGTGATTTGGGGCTCATTTTTTGTTTTTTGGTGGGGTGGGAGGGGGGGTCTGAATAAGCATTCATATCATTTCAGACCTTTTCCTGAGGCCCTGGAAGCCCCAAACCTTGGTCCAACTTTCTCAGGCTTCTGGATTGGGGTCCGTAGGTGAGATGGGGTCCGGAATGCGTCTGAGGATAAAGGTTTCGTGTTTAGAGGCCATAGACATTCAGAGTCTATAAGTTTTAATGAAAGTTTATAGTGGGGGGGGGGACCGCAGGCACCCCTGAACCCTCATCCGATAGGCAACGGACGCTGCATCGGCTTCGGTGGTTCCTGAGTCCGGCGCCGAGTTCAGTTGGTGGATCGGGGAGATTTCGAAAGCACGACTGCAAGGAAAACTCCATACGTATATTTAAGAAACGAATAAGCAATTGCCTTTACCTTGTTTCACCTGACCTACCATCCATCTGGCATACATCGTGACCGAAGCGCTTGTGAGGATAACATTCATCAACTACTTGATGTCCGCTGGCCTTAAAGAACTTCTACGATTCTACAACGCCTCTACCCCCCTATAGAGCCCAATTATGTAAAGTAAATTCTCACAACAACCGACACAATCCCGCAAACAAATCGAAGTTCCAAACCTCATACCTGATTGTCACGAGTTGCGAGCGCCGAGACCTACTTGTCGCGCTGTCGAAACCTGAGGACAATCACATCAGATCTCCCGGCGCAGCAGTTGCTACCACGACCTTCGCAGGATGCAGGAGATCATGAGGAGGCTGTCTGAGACTTCCATGGCGTTACGGCTTATTCACGTTGGTTCTCTCTGTGTGTGTTCGGCTTGTTTCGAGTTGTTGTTTTAGGGGTGGCAGGGGCGGGCGTATGGTCGTTCGACATTCCGGGTTGGGGGTTTGAGCAGTTTGCTTGAAGGGCTCGCGATTCCCACTTAAAACCTAAACCCTAAACCCTCAAAGGAGGGGGGGGGGGAGGGGGGGTGGGGGTGTCGGGCTTGGGCTTTGGGTTTCCGAGGTTTCTTGTGCAGAGCACAGGTCCGCAGCTGTACGGCGTTTCTTACGGTTTGAGGCTTCGGGTGTGGTGTGTCTTGGGAGTGGCCTAAAATTAGGGGGGGTGCCTTACTTTGGGGTCCTTATAATAAGGATCCTATTATTTGGGGTACTATATTAGGGGGCCCCTATTTTCGGAAACTCCCTCTTCTTTCCGGCTGAGAGAGTTCGGGGTCTCAAGCGTGTAAATTTCGTGTTTAGGACGCTGAGGTTTTAAAGGGCTCGGGTTCTGGATTCAAATTTGGGGCTGCAGGGTTTGAGGGGCCGGCCGTGCGGGGCAGGGAGCGTGACCTCTAACTTTACCCCGAACCTCATCTTCCTAAGAACGAAACCCTAGCAACCCAAGCACCTCAACACCAAAAGCTATGTGCTGAACTAGAAAGGAGCAAGCCCAAAGCCAAGCTCACCAAATCTCACAAAGACAAAGAAGCCACTTTTTTTCTGAGGATCCATCTGCGGGGTTAGTGTTTCGGGTGCTCTGACCTGTAATCCCGCAAACACCGAAGATCGGAGGAGTTGGAATTCTGGGCTGCAGGTGTTCGTCTAGAACTGAAAGATATACCTGTGTCCTACAAACTGCAAACTCCTACAGAACCCTACAGCCCTGCATACTTGAGGGCTTAAGGTTAAGGGGTTTTGACTGCCAGATCCGCCTTACCGGGATGTCAGCACTTCGCTTCCGAAAAACACCGTCGAGTTCGACTTGTAGCTCACTCACGAGGTCCAGGTTTTCTATTCCCAAAGGGTCCAAGTAATAGTACAGTACATACTTTTGGGGCCCAAATAGCTGCTAAGTAGCTACTATATTGGTACTTGGACCCCTCGGGATTGTAGGTCCTATATCTGTAAAGTGCGGCGTGGAGGTCTTCAAGATTCGCCGCCCTTACCCCCAAGATCTTTTGAATCCCCAAAGGCCCAAAGAGTAGCCCTAGGTGGTCAGTGCTTCGCACAGCGAGGTCCACGAAGGCGAATCATTTGTGATTTGGGATTGGGGGGGGGTGCTCCAGGTTGAGGGTTACATAGGAACTCAAGCTTAGCGTTGAGGACTTGGGGGGGGGGGGGGGGGGG